CGATAGCTGGGAACAGAAGATCAGTTCTGTCACCGCCGAGACAATCACGCAGGCCACAGCAGTAGCCGAGGGCAACCGAGCGCAACGCACAAAGACAACGTTAGTTGGACAGTACAAGCAAGGCCATCCTGTGGATTCCCACCGACGCACTTCCACCAAAGTCGACAGGGGTGGCTGGAAAAGAACAAGCCTGCCATATTCATTTACCCAGACCGAGGTCAGGCCGTGGTTAAGGTCGGTAACCGAGATTTTGGCAATGTCCAGGTCTACGCCGTACACTGTACGTAGAGGCGCTCATTGTCCGCGAGATTGGCCCCGACTCGACAGCCATGATGACAGTTTTAGCTTTTATTGCGAGTCTGCCTGCGGGGGGAACTGCTGCGGTCTTCGGATATGTGCCCATCGGACAGGGGCACCTGCGGATGACCGCGGCGAGTGGCCTTTCTCCGAAGGCACATTTTGCGCTCGTGTTTCACGATAGCGACGTCGCACTAGTATTCCACGCAATGAGTTCTCAGTTGCAGCATTAAAAATGCGCGACATCGCTGGTTCAAGTCACGCGCGAGTCATTGAATGCGTCAAAGGTCGACCAAACCCTTGGCAGGCTTCGACGATCAAATCATGACCAGTTTAATTTCGCGAACTTGGCGGGCGCGCCACCGTCGGGTGGCCGCGCTCGGAAGGAACAGGTGCGAGCACCTTGCGCTTGTTGACGACGGTCGTCTCCCGGTCACCCTTGCGTGACCAGGGGGGGGTCTCGAAGCGCACGTCTTTGGATCATGGTGTGCTGAACTTCTGGCAGAGAAGGATCTCCTGGTAGAGCCCCCGTAGAAATATCCCATGCGCAGTACTTCCGAGATGATTGCAGAAGACGGCGCGCTTGTTTCGACGACCAGTGACGAGCGAGGGCACTTGCAGAAACGCGAGTATCGTCGGGGCGACGTGGAACAGACGCACCTCGCCCCCATATCCACGACAGAGCATGGTGAGCTCTATGGCTTGGACTCAGATGAACGCGGTCAGTACCTAGAGCTCTATCTGCTTTGCCGCCGACATGGCTACAGTTGTCCTGGTGGAACAACGACGACGGCCAGGCAACCGCAATGCGCGTCTGCGCGTCGGCTGCGTCCAAGGGAGCTGGCGTTGTCAATGAAGACGACCTACTTACGAAGTCAGAAATACAAGCGCATTTTGCGAACTCTCGCGAAGCACGGGAAACTGGACTGAATATCTGGTTCGCCCAGAACTTTTCCACTATGCAAGGAATCAGAGACGCGTCGCACATCGTGGCGTCGCGATCATGTAAGCGTGGACGTCTGTGAAAAAAATGTAGAAGCTACATGAGGCGCACCATCAGATTGCGTTTGGTTCTTCGTGGCTTCATGGGCTTCGATGCCTTCGTCGTGGAGACCCCTTCAGGGGCGGCTCGGCGGGCTAGTCGTCGACTTCTCGTTAGCGCGGCCGCGAGCAAGACGCCCCGGATATTTGCGTGCATGGAAAAAGACGAAGCTTTCTTGAAGGGCCTGACATGTCGAGAGCTGGCTGTAGCCAGCTGGGAAAGGAACGCGTGGTCTGCTTCGCGATGCCCCCTGGCTCGGCCGCGGTGCTGCGAGCGCGCCCTGGCTTGCGTCCAACGTCGGATCCCGTCGGCGTGCAGTGCCTGAGGCCGGCGGCGGGCGGCAGGGATGCCCCGTGGGCGTTCTCGTTCGAATTCAGGACCATCGCGAGAGGCTTCGGGCTCGCGCTGACGTCGGGCGACGGGGAGTTTGAGACGAGCCCGAAATTCCTTGCGGCCAAGCGCGCAGACGACGTCAACGTGGCAGGAGCCGAGGAAACTAGTGACAAACATGTCAAGTGTGTAGAAGGAACGTCTGGGGCGTGCAAGCTCAACGAGTACTGCTGCGCGCGCTGCGCCGTGATCTACGCAGAGACCGAGGCCGACCGCGTCCAGATCGATCAAGATGCGGAGCCGCAGCAGGAGGAAAACAACGACGACGACTGTGTCGGAAATGCTCATCAGCTTGCGTGTTGCGTTCTCCTGTGCCTTCGTCGCCTAAATATGATTAGTGATGCGCGTGGCGTCTCTACCAGGTGTCCAAGAACCGATCGACATACATGTGCGTCGTCTCAACGCTGCAGCGCGCAACTTGCAGCGAAGTCTAGAGGCAATTTCCGACGGGAAGTGGGCCTGCGCCGCGACTCAGGTCATCGCCGCCTGAGTGGCGAGGCTGGCGACGACTTGAAGGGGCGGGGCATCCGAGGCGCCGACCCGCTACTGTGTGGGCGCGCGCCGAGCGGAAAGGCGGCTGTGCATCTGGTGGATGCGTGCGAAAGATCGCATCGGCTACGCGTGAGATCCAGCTGTTCCGCCGGAGACTTAGCTGCATCTCGCAACTTGGAAGGCTCTTGCCCTGCCGTCGTTCCGCTGTCCGAGCGTGAGGCTAGGCCGTTTACTCCAGCAGGACTGACGGACGTCTTAGAGCTGGGTGGTCTAAGCATCAAGGTGGCGCTCGCCGTCGGCGCCGAGTCGGTCTTCAAGTCTCTAATTATGCAGTGGGGCCTTGCGGAGCCCGCTGGGCGCGCCTCATTGGGCCGCGTCGATTGGATTCGGCTGGTGATGGAAAGAGGTGTCGCTTATATTGCGCAGTCTTGTCGCGCGCGTGACGTGGCGGCCGATGGGCACATCGCAGGCTGTATTGGCCGTGAACATGTGTTCAGTCAGATGTTGAGTGTGGCAGTTTACGGCAGGTGTTCAGTCGTTGGGAGTCTTCCGAGTGCCGCGTCAGTTGGATTCGGCAGATCTTGGAAAGACGTTTCGTACATTGTTTGCAGTTGTGTGTCGCGCGTGACATGGCGGCCGATGGGCGCGCCAAAGGTTGCATCGACCGTGAGCGACCCTGATTGATGGCAAGTATTTAATCGTTGAAGTATGATGTAAACAAGGTACATGCCCTACAAGGCGGGAGCGGACAATAGCTTCTGAGTCTGGCCCCCATCGGGCCAGCGGTTAGGGCGTGAGCGCAGGCATGGGCGCCTGCTTGTGTGCGCCCAGTCGCGGGCTACGCGCCTGCCATTGCTCGGTCACGGGTTCTACTTTTTTAGCATTGCGACTTTTGGTGCCCGAAGATCTCTTCGGATATCCACCTGTCATGGCATTCGGGTGACCGACTGCGCTGAGTATGCCCCCTTTGCGGATCTTGCTGCGCCAGCCAACTGTGACGTTTCGCACGTTTTTGCAGCAGTAATTCGCTATGTTATGGAAGCCTCCTTACTGACGCAGAAATGTTGCCCATTGCGCTGCCTTGTAAACATTATGGCCACCACACTTCATATATACTTTAGATTGACGTGGCCCGTTGCTCGACACCCTTTTTTCTGATTTTGAACGGAGGTCAAAGGCGGGATGCGAGGGGCGCGCGCCTGCGCCCCGACGCCGCTTGGGCTCGAGCGACGCCGCTCCATGTGATTGCCCCATACGTGGGGCCCTATATTTCAGAGCAGCGGAACATGAGGATGCGTTTGCTTCTTTTCGACGATGTATCCTCGACCCCCATGTTTTGCCTTTCATCTGCTTGTTCACGCCCACTGCATGAGCAAGTCATGGGGTATTCTGGTACGTTGAAGCGTAATATAATGGCATGGCTCGCCGCGTGCTCTTCGACTGCGCCGCCGTCTTCTGACCGCCTCGTTGCCGCCACCTGGGGGTTCCGCCGAGGTTTTGCCGCGTCGCCGCCGGCGGCCTCGTGGCCGCCTCGTTGCCGCCCAGTTGGGAGGTCCGCCGGGATGCCGCCGCTTCGGCCGCCCGTTGCCGCCTCGTGGCCGCCCACCTGGGGGGCCGCCGAGGTTTCGCCGTGGCGCTGCCCGTGGCCGACTCGTGGCTGCCTCGCTGCCGCATTCTTGGGCGTCCGCCGAGGTTTCGCCGCGCCGCCGCCCGTGGCCGCATCGTGGCCGCATCGTGGCCCGCTCGTTGTCGCCCGCTTGGGGGTCCGCCGAGGTTTCGCCGTGGCGCTGCCCGTGCCCGCGTCGTGGCCGCTTTGTTGTCGCCCATCTTGGGGGGTTCGCCGAAGTTTCGCCGCGTCGCCGCCCGTGGCCGCCTCGTTGCCGATCGGGCGTCCGCCGAGGGTTCACATCATAGCATGCGGTAAACACCCTTGACAACCTATCCCAAACCACATACATTACGCATCACAGCTTACACAACGCAGCTTACATTACATAGCTTATATCGCGTAGCACACCGCATCGCTTACACAACGTAGCCCAGGCGATATAGCTTATTTCAAACAGCTCACGCAGCTTACACAACATATCCTACGCAACATAGCTAATTCTACATTGCTCACACCGCATAGTTTACACCACATAATGTTCACCTCCACAGTGCAACAGCTACCTGTTTGTGGATCACGTTGATGAACATTCAATTTGTGTGCTTCTCTTTAATTTCGGCTCCCTTGGGCCCGCTACCGGGTCCCGCGGCCATCAACATCGGATCGGGATCGACCGCCTCCCCTTGGAGAAGCGGGCGGGACTTTTTGGGGCCGCGCATTGAAGCAAGAACATTTCGCACAACGTCTGGGAAGGATCTTCTAACCGATCCCCATTTCCTCTGGGCCGTGCCATTGTATCTCAGCCTCAGCAGCTCTCTCCGAGGCGGGTAAAGGTCTTGCGAACTCTGGGGGCAACATCAGATGTCACCATCATCTATTGTAGGTTCATGCAACGATGGCACGACGGCGACGCCAACAACGGCGTTCAACGTTGAACGCCGCATCATCGAATGACGTGGAAGCACTGAAGGACACGGTATAGCGCCACCGGACCTGACGGAATTCAACCTTGAACGATCGGAGCCGCGATCGATTCAAGGTTGAACGATCGAGGTGGCGTCGAAAACCTTTACGCGCGCCGACGCCGCGCGAACCTATCGCACATGGGGGCACGTCGGCCAGTGGGGCAAAGGCCATGCCCAGTGGGGATCGGGCTCCCAGCGCGCGAAGGCCATTGAGTTCGTGGTGATGCCCTCCACGTCGGCGGCCCTCGGCCTCGCCGCCGTCGAGGAACTCCTGCGGCGCGGGGCCCTCGGCTCGGCGCTGCACGAGCTCGGGGAGGACTGCGCCCCCCTTCCCCCTCACGCCCTCCGCCGGCTCGCGCCGGGGCCCGAGGGGGGGGGGGAAGGGGGGAGTGAGGCGTCTCTCTTGGTCGTCCCTCCCTCTGTCCCTCTCTTTGTCCCTCTCTCGGTCCCACGGGGGAGGGAGCAGCGGGCTTGCGGCAAGGACCTCTGCCTCGTGACGCTGCGGTGGCTCCTGAAGGCGCCGCCCTGCCTGGGCCGACGGGTGCGGGCCGGCCTGGCCTCCTCCGCCTCCGACGTATTTCGCGCGCGCGCGGCAGAGAGGAGGGGAAGCGAAGGGGGGTGGGGAGGCGAGGGGAGGGGGAGGGGAGGGGAGGGCCCCGGGGGAGGTGGCTCCCCTACCCCCCGCCGCGCGCCCGTCTCCTCCGCCTTTCGGTTCTCTCCCGCTCTCTCCTCTCTCCTTCCCCCCCCGCTCCCTTTTTTGTTTTTGTTTTTTTTGTTGTTTTTGTTTTTTTTGTTTGTTTTGCGGGATGTGCCCTGGCGCCGACACCTGGGCGGTCTGTCGCCTCTCACCCGGGTTCTGCGGGAAACCTTCCTCATGGGCACACCACTAGATCGTTGTGGGCTGGGGGTCCTCGGCCGACACGCCAGGCCTCGGTGTAGGCCAGACCTGCGATGGGTCTGGTGCGGGGACTGCGGATCGAGGGTGAGGGTCGGTATCGTTTAACCAATCCCCATCCCCTTTCCCATCCCCTTCGAGACCCCCACAAAAAACCACCCCAGTTGGGGGTACACCCCTCGAAGCCAGAAGGGAGCGGCCTATATCCCCATCTAGGGGGGTTAATCGGCCAGTGGGGCCCGGGCCACGCCGCTGGGGAAGGGGGTCGGTTAAACGATACTCAGAGGGGATGGGGGGAGGCGGGGAAGGCGAAGGAACAGGGGAGTGTCAGGGTGACAGGATGGGGGTTGGGAGCAAGGGGGTGCGGAGAGGAAGGGGAGGGGAAGGGAGGGGAAGGGAGGGGAAAGGGGAAGGGGAAGGGGAGAGGAGAGATTTGTAGGAGGCAAGATTGGTGAGTTCGCGCCATATCTGACATGATAATTCTTGACGCTTCGCGTATCCCCACCAGAAAAAAACCGCTGGACTGACCGGTCCCGGGACCTCCCACTTTGCTGTCCAACGGCGGCAGCCACCCATCCTTCGGTGACAGGGGGACGTCGGCGGAAACACCCCCCCCTGCGCGCGAGCGTATCGGCCTGTTATTTCAGGCCACAGTTTTGGCAGCTTCGGCTCCAGCGGCGAGTAGCTGCGACTCCTGAGGACCCACCTCCTGGGACGCACCTCGCTGCAGGCTCACATCCTCTGCGTTGGCTGCGGCCCCGGTGGGCCTTCACCCGTTCGCACACATTCAACAGAGACCTCAGCGGCGATTAGCTGCGACCCCCACGATGTGTAAAAGAGATCCTAGCGGCGATTAGCTGCGACCCCCCAGTTATTCAATGCAAGTGCTAGCGGCGATTAGCTGCGACCCCCAGGACGATCCAAGAGGAAGACCGCGGCCCCTGGCCCACGGCAGCAGGGAGCCTGGCCGTGGGGTGAGGCGTTGCGTCCCCTCGCCTCTTCCCTCCCGGGCCCGGTGGGTGTCCCCCGCCCGTGGCTCCGGGGCTCGCCTGACGCTGCACTTGCGTCGGTGCTGAGTCCCCCCCCTCCCTGTTCACGCCGTGGTCCGTGCTGCTCGTGGTCCTGCTCTGCACCACCAGCGACGGTTACCACGGCCCTGGGGGGGCACGGTGTGTGTGTGTGTGTGTGTGTGTGTGTGTGTGCGTGTGTGTGTGTGTGTGTGTGTGTGTGTGTGTGTGTGTGTGTGTGTGTGTTGGCGCTAGGGCCCAGGGGAAGCGCTTTGTGACCGTCTGGGTTTGGCTGGCCACCTCAGCCTCACGACAGCGGACTCCCCCAGGCAGGCAGCGCAGTCGACACCACCACCACGCGTGCCGCCCATCACCATCCGACGGCGATGCTCCCCACGCCAGCGGAGTTCCTCGCTTCATGAGGTGGCACCGTGCAGTCGCGCTTTGGGTCACAGTCGCTCGGCTCTCCCCCGGGCACTGTGGTGCAGATCACTGAGGACTGGGCGCTGAGTGATTCAGCCTACAACGCCTGTGCAGCCTTCGGTCCTCCCTGCTGTCGCGCACTGTTTTCTGGTCCCGACCGCTCAGCCGTTCGGCTTGTGCAGGTCGGCCGCGGAAGTCTGGCGCCGCATTGGCGATTCACGTCGGGGCATTTTCACTTTCTCTGGGCACGGCGGCCTGCCCACTGCGGTTAAGGCTGCTGCGCCTTAGTGCGTCTGCCTTTCGAACTCTTGTCATTTTGTTCGGTGCATGTGCAGGTGCGAGCTGTCTGTCCGCCGACTGGCTGGCGGCGAATTGTCTTGCAAATTAGCCCCGCCCGTGGCCCGGACGTCGCCTCCGCTCCCTGACCGTTGACTTGGAGCCGCTGAACAAAAAAACGTATCCCCGCCAGAGTCCGTACCCCCCATTGGCTCAAGCCGTGTCGGCACGAGGTTGGTCGGCGCGACCTGGGTCCGCTGCCTCTGGGGCAGGCCGGATGGAGCCGCCCTCTGCGCGGCGGCGACGGCTGCGCCGCGCCGCCGCCGCCCGCGCCGCTCCAGCGCCGCCCCCTGGCTGGCCGCCCGCTGGTTGGGCCGCCGGCCCTGCTGCCGCCGGTGCCGCGGCCGCGAGCGCCGCCGTGGGCTCCGCTGCCGCCGTGGCCGCCTCTGACGCGGCTGCCGCCGCCGCGGCCCGCTGCTCGCTTGGCGCTGCGGCCGCCGTGGCCCGCGCGGCCGCCCTGGGGCCGGCCGCTACCCGCGCCGCTGCCGCGGCCGCTGGCGCTGCGGCCGCCGCTGCGGTCGCTCGCGCGGCGGCCGACGCCGCGGCCGCGGCGGCAGCTCGGCCTCCGGCGCCGCCGGCGTGGTGGCCGCTCCTGCTGCCCCCTCCGCGGCGGCTGCCGCCGCCGCTCTGGCTGCCACCGCCGCGGCGGCTGGCGCTGCCGCGGCGGCCGGCGGCCGCCCCGACAAGGCCCCCGCGGGCGCCGGGCCGCTTCTGGCGCCGGTGCCGTCGGCGCCGGCGGACCTGCTGGCGGCCGCCCTGGCGCTGGCCCCGGCCTTGGCTGGGGCTGGGTTGGCCGCCGTCTCCGCCGCCGCTGCTGCCGCTGCCGCTGCTGCTGCCGGCTCCTCGCCAGCGGCGACGGCGGCGGAGGGCGCGATGGCCGGCGCGACCGCGGTGGCGCGCGGCCTGCCCCGCGGCCCGCCCTCCGGCGAGCCCGACGGCCAGCCCCGCGGCCAGCCCGACTGCCATCCCCACGACCCGCCTGACGGCCAGCCCGTTTGCCCGCCCCGTGGCCAGCCCGACTGCCAGCCCCGCGACCGGCCCCGCAGCCAGCCGTTCTCTTATCGAGCGCGTTCGGGGCGTCATTCGCTCGTCCCCGGATAGCTTTGAACAGTGGGAGTGGCGCACTATCGACGACGAGAAGCCTGGCAAAGGCAGAGCCCAGCCCTACATTGCACCCATGCGCGTCATCGTCGCTTTCATGCCTGCTCGCGCCGGGCACGAGAGGACGTCGGTCTACGTTCCCGTGGGCGCGGCAGCGCACTGGGGCTCCCACCCGCGCTGACCCGCTCCACTTGAGGCCTGGAGTGCCTGCCGCGGCCCTGGGGGCCAGCCTGGCGTGCTGCCCGCCCCGCGCGGGGCGGTCCTTCGCCGCGCCATAGCTGCGGCGCGCCGGGTAGTCCTATGCTGCAGCGTTTAGCTGCCACACCAGGGTGCCTACCGTGCCTGGCGTGCACTTCCCCTCCTCTCCTCTTGCTATCCCCAAGCTGCAGCTGTTAGCTGCGTTCCATGTCTGTCCAAGCGCCTTCATCTCCCATTGCTGCAGCGGTTATCTGCGCTCCGCCCCTGCCATGTTCGCTTGTTTCTCCTGCCGCACTCCTCGTCCGCCCTGCCCATGGCCCCCGTCCCTCTCTGAGGGCGCGCAGAGTTGTCCGACACCTCGCTGACGCGCAAGACTGGCTCAAGCACCGCAGCATCGGGCAGTGCGTCGTCGAGCAGCGCGTCGCTGATCAGCGCGACTGAGTCGTTCGCTACGGGATTGAGCGCCACGGAGTTGAGCAGCGCCACGCTGGCCAGCGCGACCGAGGCCAGTACGACGGGCTCAAGTGCCACAGAGTCGAGCAGCACGTCGCTGACAAACGCGACCGAGACCAGCATGACAGGCTCAATCACAGCAGAGTCGAGCAGCGCCTCGCTGACCAGTGCGACCGGCTGAAGTACCGCAGAACAAGTATCACCGCGCTGAGCAGCACGTCGCTGACCAGCACGACCGAGTCGAGCACCGCGGGATCGTGCACCTCAAATTCGAGCAGCGCCACGCTGACAAGCGCGACCGAGGCCAGTACGACCGGCTCAAGTACCGCAGAGTCGTACAGCACGTCGCTGACCAGCGCAACCGAAACCGTTACGACCGGCTCATGTGCCACAGACTCGAGCAACACCTCGCTCACAAGCACGACCGGCTCAAGTACCGCAGAGTCGAGCAGCACGTCGCTGCGCGGGATGTCGTTGACGATCGCGACCGAGTCGTGCACCGCGGGATCGAGCGCCGCGGAGCCGTGCAGCACCGCGCTAACAGGCGCGACCGAGACCAGCACTACTGGCTCAAGTATCACAGAGTCGTGCAGCACGTCGCTGACAAGCACGACCGATTCGAGCGCCACAGGATCGTGCACCTCAAATTCGAGCAGCACCGCGCTGACCAGCGCGACCGGCTCAAGTTCCACAGTCGAGCATTACGTCGTCGAGCAGTACTTCGCTGACCAGCGCCGCCGAGTCCAGCACTGCGGGTTCGAGCACCGCAGAGTCGAGCAGCACCTCTCCGACAAGCACGACCGTGACCAGTGCAACTGGCTCAAGTACCACAGAGTCGACCAGTGCTCCGCTGACCAGCACGACCGAGACCAGTCGACTGGCTCCCGAACCACAAAGCCGTGCAGCACTTCGCTGACCAGCACGGCTGGTCAAGTACTACAAGGTCGAGCAGCACGTCGTTGATCAACGAGACTGGGACCAGTGCGATCGGCCGGCGCCAGGGAGTCGAGCAGCGGCCCGCTGACCAGCGCGACCGAGACCAGTGCGACTGGCTCCAGTGCCGCAGAGTCGAGCAGTACCCCGTTGTTCAGCGCGCCTGGCTCAAGTACCACAGTGCCAAGCAGCACTTCGTCGACCAGCGCGACAGCGTCGAGCGCCGCGGAGTCGAGCAGTGCGTCGCTTCCCAGGGCGTCCGAGTCGTGCGCCACGGAGTCGAGCAGTGCCTCGCTGACCAGCACGACTGGCTCAAGTACCGCAGAGTCGAGCAGCGCGTCACTTACCAGCGCGACCGCGTCGAGCAACGCGGGGTCGAGCAGCGCGTTGCTGACAAGCACTACTGAGTCAAGCACCACGGGGTCCAATACCACAGAGTCAAGCAGTACCATGCCGACCAGCACTACTCATTCGAGCACCACAGAATCGAGCAGCACCTCCCTGTCCAGCGTCCGACTCGCGCACCGCGGGATCAAGCAGCGCAACGCCCAGCACCGCGACATAATCAAGCAGCGCCACGCTGCGCAGCACTACTGAGTCGTGCACTACCGCTCACTGCAACGACTGAATCAAGCAGCGCATCGCTGACTAGCACATCGGATTCGAGTACCACCTCCCCCCACCTACGTGCGTGACCGACTCAAGTACCACAATTCAGCAGCACCAGTTGACCAGCACGAGCGAGTCGGGCAGCGCGAGCACCAGTCTGGCGAGTACCACGGAATCGAACAGCACATCAATGACGAACAGCACTACGCTGAGCAGCACCACGGTGAGCAGCACGACCGAGTCGAGCAGCACTACCTTGTCCAGCAATACGGACACCAGCAACACCTCGTTGAGCAGCACGGTGTGCGACCGACTCCCTCGTCCCTTGTCCCCTTGGCCATCACCGCAGGCTCCTGTTACTGAGTCCAGTAGCACGTCGCCGACCAGCGCGACTGAGACCAGCTGCTCGACGATGAACACCGGTGCGACGAGCAGCGCGACGATGACGTACACAACGGAGTCTAGCACTACAGGCATCAGCAGAACAGAGTCCAGCATCGCGTCGTTGGCTTGCACAACCGAGACAAGCAGCACGGCGATGAGCACTGGTGAGTCGAGCGGCGCGACAATGGCGAGCACCGCGGGACTGGGCGCCGCAGAGCCGTGCAGCACATCACCGACGTGCACCACCGAGACGAGCTGCAGCGCCACAGAGAACAGCAGCACGGCCCTGGCGAGCACAACCAGCTGTAGCACGATAGAGTCCTGCAGCGAGTCGCTGACCATCACCACTGAGACACGCAGCTCGGCAACGAGCGCTCCGGGGACGCGCAGCACGACGCTTTGTCCAGCAGAACGGCGTCGTGCAGCACGGGGTTCAATATAAGGCGCTCGAGCCGCGCTTCGCCGACGAGCACTACCGAAACCGCGACTTGCAGCGCGGAAACGTGCGCCAGCCAGACGCGCGGCACGACGCCGACGAGCATCGCGGGGTCCAGCACCACGGGCTCAAGCACAACGAGGTCTAGCTCACGTCGTTGACGAGCACAACTGAGTCACGCAGCACGGCTACGAGCACCAGTGGGACTTGCAGCACGCCGCCGACGCGCACCTGGGTCGAGCATCACAGGCTCGGGCAGCACGTCGCGGCCCCACACCACCGTGACAAGCAGCTTGGCAACAAGCACCAGTGGGATTAGCAGCGCGACGTTGACGAGCACAACGGGTTTGAGTGCCGCGGGCTCCATCACAACGGGATCGCGCAGCACGTCGCTGCTCCTCGAGATGCGACGGTTAGTCGCCTACACCGGGAATATTGCGAAATGAGTCGCCTCCACCAGGAGGAGCGCGAAGATAGTCGTGAATCGCAGGGGGGGGGGCAGGAAGAAGTCCGGGAGGACCTTGCCGACCGTCGCGCACAACCCGCTGGCAACGCGACCCCTTGGCACGCCCAACCGCCTCGGGTTCCAACGGGCTCTGCGAGGGTCAGTCGCCGCCGCCGGGAGGAATGTGATGATAGTTGCGAGTCGCATGGTGGGGGGCTGGGAGGAGACGGAGAGGACTTTACCGATCGTCCAACGCAACCCGCTGGCAACGCGACCCCTGGGACCACCCAGCCGCCTCGGATTCCAACAGATTCTGCGATGATTGTTCGCCTACGCCGGGAATATTACGAAATGGGTCGCGAGCCACAGGAGTAGGGGCAGAAGGGGAGACAGAGAGGACCTTTCCGACCGTCCGACGCAACCCACTGGCAACGCGACCTCCGGGAACACCCAGCCGCCTCGGGTTTGAAATTGCCTCCGCGACGGTCAGTCGCCTCCACCGGGAAGAGTGTGAAGATAGTCGCGAGTCACAGGGTGAGGGGCGCGGCGAAGACAGAGGGAACCCTGCTGACCGTCCAACACAACGCGACCCCTGGGAACACCCAGCCGCTTCGTACTCCAACAGACTCTGCGACGGTCAGTCGCCTCCACCCGGAAGAGTGTGAAGATGGGCGCGAGTCGCAGGAGGAAGGGCCCCCCCCCGCTGGGGGGGAGCTTAGTTGGCACAGTCAGGGTTGGCGTAGCCAGGGTTGGCGCAGTCACGTTTGGCATAGTCAGCGCGGTCGGACATGGCACAGCCACGGGTCGGCGCGGTCAACAATGGCACAGCCATGACGATTGGCATAGTCAGCAATTACTGCTCTCGCGTACACCGGGAAGATTGCGAGATGTGTCGCCTCCACCGGGAAGAGCGCGAAGATAGTCGCGAATCGCTGGTTGTGGAGCAGGAAGATGTCTGGGGGGACCTTGCACGTGCAACGGGTTATGGGAAGTGGCGCGTGCCATGGAGTCAACGTGCCACCGTGGCAGGCTGCCTCCATCTCCCTTTCCTGTTGTTCTTCCAAGGCTGCGACGGTTAGTCGCTCTACTCCTCCTGCGGCCCCTGCATCCTCTGTCCATGTGCCCTCATATCCCCACACTGCAGCGGTTAGCTGCGTTCCATGTCTGTCCATGCGCTTTCAAAACCACAGAGTCGAGCAGTGCGTCGTCGAGCAGCGCGTCGCTGATCAGCACGACTGAGTCGTGCACTAAGGGATGGATCACCACGGAGTCGAGCAGCACCGCGCTGGCCAGCACGACCGAGACCAGTATGACAGGCTCAAGTGCCACAGAGTCGAGCAGCACGTCGCTGACAATGTCGAGCACAACTGGGTGCAGTACCACGGGGTCCACCCCGCGGGGTCGAGTAGCACGTCGCTGACCAGCGCCGCCGTGACATGCAGCACGGCAGCGGAGACCAGCGGGACTAGCAGCGACGTGCGCCACGGGTGGGAACACCCAGCTGCCTCTGTTTCCAATATCAGTCGCTTCTACCGGGAAGAG